CGCCTCAGAGCGAGGTAACGCCGCATGAGTCATGTTTTTTCGTGCGTGCAGCCGGCTCCATCGAATTATAAGACGTTGTCACGCCAAAAAGTATTCATCTTCATTCAAGTGTGCTAAGTTGAAGTTAAGTGTAGTAGTTAATGGCGATGTTTTTAAAATCTTTCCCCTTTGCTACGGTGGCGCCATCTTCTTTGGCTTCCCTTCAGCTGACACTTTTTAATACACGAGATATAGTGTTCCTTGCGTCTATTCTGCATAGCAGCGCCATAAAAGACCACACTGCAATCCAGCATATAAGACTCTGTTTAAAACTGCTATATTCATATCATTAATACGCTTTTATTAGCTTCAGACGTATGTATGTTTGTAACGGAACCTTTGAACATGCTTTTGACCCCCTTCAAAACGTCGGATTAACTTGAAATTTGGTATGCTTATTAAGGAACGATGACAATTCAATATTTAAAAAAAAAAATGAAATTCATCTAAAAAAAATAATATTTTAAAAAAACGAACAAAATACGCTTTTATAGAAAATCCAACAAAAACATAGAAAATAAATTTGAATTTACAATAAAATCATTTTTTCTTTTTTAATATTAGATAAATTCAAATTTATTTAACATTTATTTTCTATTTTTCAGTTGGATTTTCTATAAAAGCGTATTTTGTTAATTTTTTAGACTAATATTCATATCATGTCCACTTCCTACACTAGCGTTATTTCGGTGAGTCTTCCGACAATAACTCACTGTTTACAAGTGGACGCTTTTTCTACTTATCCCCTATGTAAGATGGTGCTCCTTAGCTCTTCCCTCCATATCAGCAATGAATGATGTATGGTTTAGTTTTTTTTTCTTTTTCAAATAGTGGCAAGCAATGGACTCGTGTTGAACTCCAAAGAGTTGCCGTTTCTGTAATGGCCATTTCGAAATGTCTGCATTTTTGGTAATTAAAAAGTATGTTTTATACTTTAATAGGAAGAATGCACGAGTATGCATAAGTGTAATAATGTTTAAGGTCTAATTTCATTGTACAGTAGTATGTATCTATATAAATATAATAATATTTTTTTTGTATTTTCTATTTTTATTTTTTTGGTTATTAAAAATTAAATTAATTAATGTGTACATAAATAAAAAGTTGTGCTTACTCTATGGTCTTTGTTTTTTAGTATACCTACCTAATATAGGTAACTAATTATGTACCTATTTTTTTTTTTTTTTTTGTTTTTATTGCTCAGATGGGTGGACGAGCTCACAGCCTGGTCTTAAGTGGTTACTGGAGCCCATAGACATCTACAACGTAAATTCGCCACCCACCTTGAGATATAAGTTCTAAGGTCTCAGTATAGTTACGACTGCCTCACCCTTCAAACCGAAACGCATTTTTGCTTCACGGCAGAAATAGATAGGGCGGTGGTACCTACCCGTGCGGACTCACAAGAGGTCCTACCACCAGTAACTAGTACATGCTAAGGCATTATTTTTATTTTGAGTCTGTCGTATTAATTGGAGGCTTGTCATTTTGGTCATGAATAGTAGTGGGAAGTAAAATTGGGAATGTTATTTCTTTTCTTTACTGACTCAAGAAGAAATTAACATGCGGACACATCGCATTCATTTGCCGTTTTTTCCACTATGCTGTCCATGGTCACATTTGAATCAGACTGTTCAAAATACTTAAAAACATTGTAAATTACTTTTCTCTCTCAACTCTTTTTTCCCTACTAATGCTGATAGCCTTGAGATACTATTTCAGCTTCGTCCGTGTAGGTGAGCTCAGGGGGCTCAAACCGGAGTGTTGCTAACACTGGCCCTAACAAGAGCAGTGCTTCGCAGAATCTACCACAGGACCGGGAACGTGACCCACTGAGAAGATCCGGCGAGAAACTCAGTGGGCTGTGTCTATGGATTAATTCGCTCGTCGAGCCCTTCGTCGCAAGCGACGGGTTCGACAAGGACCCAACTGCATTCTTAACGCGAACGAACTATACCTAGTATCAAAACGGATGTGTCTGGACTAGGGATTTGTCAATGAATTTGTGATAAAATAAATAAATAAACGCGATAGGTATGCGATTTGAAAACATAATGAAACTTGTCATTTAATAACGTAATTGAGTATAATTTTATTGTGATTGGCATAAAGAACAACTTGAATTAGATTCCAGTTCACTTGAGGAGTTGCTGTATCCGTCATCGTCATCAGGGCCCTGAAACTGCGATACTTTAAGACACATTTTTTTGTATGGAAACTAGCGACATCTTGTAGCGGATGCCCCTAAACTTATATGTTGTTAAAGTTAAGGCATTTAATAATAATGTAACAGAAAATAAAAAAATAAAAAATAATGCAAGTATTTATTTATTATACATAAATTGATTAAATTTTATCAATTAGTGCTTTCTGAAATTTTACAAAATCCTTCATTAAAAATAAAATATAGGATAGATAATATGTTAGTGCCATCTACAGGAGCAATGAGAAACTAGTCGAAGCGAAGCCATCTAGTGGCCGACGCCCGTAAATATGCTTATGTTATGCTTATCTGTAACTAATTTATGTGTATTATCTATGATCGTCATCTTCGCGAGCATGTATTATTGTATTGGTACTCATAGTACTGTTACGCGCTGGGGCTCGGGGTAAATAAAACTTTCACCGAAATTTCAATTAAGACTATTAAACAGTCTTAATTTATTTAGACTTAGAGCACTTAAGGACACACTTCACAATTCGAAATTCATTTGTACCGCTTGGCTGTGACCGTTCGGGTGATCCGTTCGCTGTTTGGCTTCGAGTAGAACCGATTATTAACTGCCTTCATGTTTTTTTTCCTACTTAAGCTGATAGCCTTGAGAGGCTATTTCAGCGTAACCTTAACTAGTAGGTGAGCTCACGGGGCTCAAACCTGACGACGTTGCTAACACGAACCCTAGCAAGAGCCGTGCTTCGCAGAATCTATCACCGGTTCCGAAATGCGATCCATTGAGAAGATCCGGCGAGAAACTCAGTGGGCTTGCCTTCATGTCATCTCTGCAACGCTTTTATAGTCGACACGACAACTCTACAATTATTGAGAACATTTCCGGTAGTACTAGTTGTTTCGATATGTGTTTTCGGTATTTGATAATAGATGGCGTTACACGAGCGTTCTCGATGTTACTAGCTCTTATTCGTTTCTGTTATTTGATGACAGATGGCGTTATATTACCGGCGTAACAGGATATCTCGAGTAAGTAAGCACATAGTTCAAGTCCAATGCCGTGCAAATGTCAGTTTAAAAGAGAGGAAAGTTTTTTTATGTTTGGACGAGCTCACAGCCCACATGGTGTTAAGTGGTTACCGGAACACATAGGCATCTACAACGTAAATGCTGCCACCCACCTCGAGACGTGAGTTGTAAGGTCTCAGTTTTAACATACTTCGGTCACGTTGCGAGAGAGGATGGAAACGATCTCGAAAGAGTCATCGTGTACGGTAAAGTGGATGGGAGAAGGCCCTGGGGGGGGTTAGCAAAATACGTTGTTCCGACCAGAGCCGCACCGCTCTTGATTCCATATTTCACAAGTCCTCAACAACGCCAGAGACAGAAACAAATGGAGAACAAATCTTGTGTTAGTGGTATGTTCTGGATGCTCACGAGCCTCAACATTCAGGAATAGGACGGAAAGAGGTGGAGTAAGAGGATATATTATTATTATTATTATATTATGGTTTCTGAGGAAATTACGAACGGTTAACGTGGTATAGACATGTGATGCGTAGAGAGAAGATGCGTGTGACTAGGAGATGTATGGAAATGGTAGTGCAAGGTAGAAGGGAAGAGGTCGACCGAAGAAGACATGGATGGAGTGTGTGAACGATGATATGAGAGAGAGAGGAGTGAGTGTTGAGATAATAGCTGATAGAGAATGCAAGAGAAAAATTAGCTGTGCCAACCCCCACTTAATGGGATAAGGTGGAGAAAAAGAAGAATGTTTATAAGGAAATACGTATATTACACGTGTTCACCAAGGCTGCTGGAGGCGAACCATTCTCGAGTGCCGACCGCGTATCGGAAAGCGTAACGTGGGTACGGTTCCCACGATGTGGACCGACAACTGGCTAAAGTCGCGGAAATCCACTGATTATTGTGGCGAACCTTCGAAAAGGCCTAAGTCTAGCAGTGAATACCTCTAGACTGAAAGAAAAATAGATAGATTGATAGAATCTCACTGAGAGGTGAAAATGGTTGTTCAGACGGAAGTATGTAGCTTTTTCATTATTATTAGTTTTTATTGCCTACGGCCCACCTGATGGTTACCGTCACTCACGGACGACAGCACTGCCATAGGTAGAGTCAAGCAGCTGTATACCGTTTAATACTCTCCACAAGCCTCGTTTGAAGAAGGACAAGTCATAGTGTCGCGAAACACAGTCGAGGTGAGCTCATTCCAAACGCGGATGGTACGTGGCAAAAAATACCTCTGGAAACGCATTGTGAATGAATGTAGTGGCTTCAGGTAGTACGGATGAACTCTACTCCAGTGGCGGACGGTGCGATGGTAAAAACGAGATGCCGGTATCATCTCGAACAATTCCTCAGAGCACTCCCCATGGAACATACGGTACAAAATACAGAGGGAACCGAAGTCCCTCTGCAGACCCAGAGGTTCCAAATGATCGGTGAGATTGGGATTATCGACAACCCGAACGGCTCTCTTCTGTATGGAGTCAAATGGAAGTAGCGGGTAGCTTGCCCTCCAGACGACTCCGAAATTGGATATCGTTCGAAATGTCGAATACTTAGTATTCCAATACTCTTGGAAGGTTACAGGGATACTCCTTGGAATTGCAGCACTATGACAAAGGCGTTTTTCTTACATTGATTTGGCTACAAAAGATAAGGTTGGATGGGCTTTGTTTCCTTTGCCTATTCAAACGCCGAATAAAAAGATAAACAAAAATTTGACGTCTTGTTCGCAAACAAGCCGGATCAATAGATCTGTAAATAGTTGAGGTTATTTTTGCTATTTAAAGTTTAAGAATATCTAAATTGTTACTAATGTGTTAATGTTTACGTTTTAATAAAGCAATATGTCAGATTTAGACGAACCGCCGACTAAATTGACCAAAATGGGAGTGAGTTTTATTTTTAATTAATAAATCTGGCTTGACAATAATTCATAATGAAACGCGTATATACCTCATTAAAGATGAGGTATCGAGTAATATGAAGAAGGATATTCATTGTTTATGTTCACGAGTAACGCTAAACGCTTACGATCCGTCGTACTGGCGTGCCGTTTCGCCTCCGATGCTATTAAAAAATTAACTGTAATATTATTCTGGTAACAGGGTCAAGCTATGGGCTCTGCCGAAGGTCTAGAATTGGACGAAGAGGAAATGGAGGCGCAAGAAGAATGGCTCAGCGAAGGAGTGCTTACTGATGATGAATACAACCAAACGGTATTTAATCTGTTTCATTTTAAGTACATTACCACTAAATGATGACTTCGAATAGAGCGTATATATTTTTATAACATGATTAGCAGAAATAAAAAATCTTAAAACTCTGTTAATATATCTGTATATATAGGCAAAGACAAAACAGTTATATAATTTTTTATTTCCTAACAATTTCAAGGAAAGCTGTTAATAATAAAATTAAGGAGAATATGTAATACATAAAATGAATTTAAATCTTAAGTTTTCCTTAAGAATCTAGTTAATTAGGAAAATATAGGTATTTATATTGATGAACATGTTTAAAGGCTATTTAGAAATCATCTGAATGTAGTAACCATGTTATTGTTTGTCGTGTACTTTGTGAGTAATTTTAGAACGATCAGTAGTCAACTAATGGGACAATCTGTGGGATCAAAGGAATACAGGGAGCAGTTACATTCTTTTTTTAATTGCTTATTTGGGTGGACGAGCTCACAGCCCACCTGGTGTTAAGTGGTTACTGGAGCCCACAGACATCTAAAACGTAAATGCGCCACCCACCTTGAGATATAAGTTCTAAGGTCTCAGTATAGTTACAAAGACTCCCCCACCCTTCAAACCGAAACACATTACTGTTTCATGGCAGAAATAAGCAGAGTGGTGGTACCTACCCGCGCGGACTCACAAGAGGTCCTACCAAACAAATTATATTTTTGCGGGCTTGATTTTTAATACATGGTGTTATTCCTTTATCGTTGAAGTAAATCGTGAACTTTTGATGAGTATGTATTTCATTAGAATAATTGGTACCTGCCTGAGATTCGAGCACCGGTGCATCACTCAACACTAATGCACCAGACGTCTTATCCTTTAAGGCCACGACCATTTGTACTAGCTGTTGTCTTGTATCAAAGATTTACGAAAATGAACCAATCAAAACAGTGTGATATGTTGAAGCTCTTAGTTTTCGTCTTCTTTTCTCTACCACTAAGTTTTCAAAAAGAAAAAATATATTAGTTTAGTACTTCCGAAATGATGGTTTGTCATCTATTACAATATCCCAGAGTCCAGAGCACCTTGGTAAATTACTTATGAATTTTGTGTTTCAGTGTGAACAAGAAACACTAGATCAATCTGAGTTGGCTACTCAAGATGATGATGCTACCCCTAGCATTGATTCCTTGGAAGAAAGTCAAGAATGGAATAAAACAAAGCAAGAAAATGATAGTATGCTAGGTAATGTTGGTATGGTAATACTTACTTCCTAGTCGCACACTCTTGACAGAGTGGTTTTGGCCATGCATCAGTCGAATTTTGCGATACTGATGCTCTCGCGATGCGACGCCATGTGGTAATGTTTCACAGAGTGAGAGCAGTCATTTATATTGGAGTGAGTCACAAATGTAGTCAGTCCATCATGTTGGACTTTGTGAGATTTTTTTGCCCTCGACTTTCTCTTGCACCACCAATCATATTATGTAATATGGGTAATTTTTTGCGTAATATACTTAGAGCATTTTTTAAGCATTTCTAACTTTTTCTTCTTTTTCTTATTGTGGTCAGTGGTGCATAGTAAACTTTTTTGACTACGGTCTCTTCAGTAGAGAGAAATTTTTTGGCGATCTATCTATATATCTATATATCTTTATCTAAGGGATAGGGAGGGATTGGTAATTTACTAGCGGCTAAATTTGTAGTCGTCGCAGCCTAAAGGATAAGACGTCCAGTGCATTCGTATGTACCAATGCACCGGTGTTTGAATCCCACAGGCGGATACTAATTTTTCTAATGAAATACGTACTTAACAAATGTTCACGATTGATTTCTGCGGTGTCACGGCAGAAATAGGCAGGGCTGTGGTACCTACCCGTGCGGACTCACAAGACATCCTATTATATGAAGCAATGATATGAAGTCGATTCTTAAGAAGTAAACTTCAAAACATCTTTGACAGATGAAAAATCACAAGGAATAGATAAGGAGTCGACGGTAACGGTCTCGGTGACAAGAAATGAGGTACAGAATATTGAAGAGGCCCTTAATAACTTGGACACAAAAAACGAACTAGCTGATGACTTGGATGCTTTTCTTATAAGGTAAGGAGGGATTTTGATTCTTCACAAGTCATTACGGACCCTCCCGATCTATTAATGGTGCTTTTAGGTACCCCAAGCACCGGTCACCGTTCTCGCCGAACCCGTCGCTTGCGACGAAGTGCTCGACGAGCGAATTAACCCATAGACACAGCCCACTGAGTTTCTCGCCGGATCTTCTCAGTGGGTCGCGTTTCCGATCCGGTGGTAGATTCTGCGAAGTACTGCTCTTGCCAGGGTCAGTGTTAGTATCACTCCGGTTTGAGCCCCGTGAGCTCACCTACTAGTTGAGGTTACGCTGAAATAACCTCTCAAGGCTATCAGCTTAGGTAGGAAAAAAAAAGTCGTCGTGGCCTAAAGGATAAGACGTCCGGTGCATTCGTGTGTAGCGATGCACCGGTGTTCAAATCCCGCAGGCGGGTACCAATTTTTCTAATGAAATACGTACTCAACAAATGTTCACGATTGATTTCCACGGTGAAGGAATAACATCGTGTAATAAAAATGAAACCCGCAAAATTATAATTTGCGTAATTACTGGTGGTAGGACCTCTTGTGAGTCCGCACGGGTAGGTACCATCACCCTGCCCATTTCTGCCGTGAAGCAGTAATGCGTTTCGGCTTGAAGGGTGGGGCAGCCGTTGTAACTATAATTGAGACCTCAGAACTTATATCTCAAGGTGGGTGGCGCATTTACGTTGTAGATGTTTATGGGCTCCAGTAACCACTTAACATCAGGTGGGCTGTGAGCTCGTCCACTCATCTAAGCAATTAAAAAAAAAAAAAAGTTCACAATGACTAATACCTAGTCAGGTCATAAGTATTGTCACACAGTAAAAACTTTTCTTTTAGAATGCTGGCCACAAAAAAGTTTATTGAATTCGAATTTCGAATTGTTCATGAAAATAAAAATGTATACTTTTTGAAATTTAACTCATTTTTAAATATGGAGTGGACGCTTAAAGAAGACCGTGTTGCTGTTATTGCGTTGCATCGATGCGGTTACGCGCCAATTCAAAATTTTAACATACTGAAAAATTTGAATATAACCAAAAGATTCGTTTATCGTACCATCAAACGATACAATGAAGACTCTAGTGTAGATGACAGGTCAAGAAGTGGTCGCCCTCGGTCTGTTAGGACTCCAGCAGTGATAAAAGCTGTGAAGGCGCGAATTCAAAGAAATCNTTTTTTTTTGGTCAGGAGGAAATCGCCGGACTTCCGCCCTCCCCTGGGGATGGAAGGCGGGGCATGTCGGAGTCGAACTGACTAAAACCTCCTGTCGCTCAACAACCCGCGTCCGAACCTCGCATGAGACAGAACCCATGAAAAGGCAAAGGGGGGAAAGTGAAGCGTTTAGTGCGGAGCACATCTCTCCCATCACCCTACCCCACTCTAGCAATTATTCTCACCACTAATAGGACAAAATTGAAGTTTTAATGTACACGTTATTGTCAAAGGATAAAATTTGAGGTCATTAATTAACCATGTTGTGTGTGTGTGTGTGTTTTTTTTTTCGCATAAGATTTCTTGTTTCAGGAAATCTGATGGTCAAGTGATCAAACCTGATGGTACGAAATCAGAGAGCAAGCAAGAGGAAGACGGTAATGATACAGATGATTTATTGGTAAGAAACTTATTAAGATTGTTCCGGCAGGGGATTTTTTTTTTTTTTTGCTTAAGTTGGTGGACAAGCTCACCTGTTGTTAAGTGGTTCCCGGAGTCATAGACATCTATAACGTAAATGCCGCTACCCACCTTGAGATATGAAGTTCTAAGGTCTCAAGTATAGTTACAACGGCTGCCCCGCCCTTCAAACCGAAACGCATTACTGCTTCACGGCAGAAATAGGCAGGGTGGTGGTACCTACCCGCGTGGACTCACAACACGTCCTGCCACCAGTAATTAGGCAAATTAAGTTATAATTTAGTTGCAGTTGAAAAGTTTTTATTTTATTACAGCACTAGATGTTGGTCGCCTGTGCTTAGTAGGGATTTGAGCCCATGGGTAACACAGCGCGAATTCCACCTTGAGGCATGAGGTCGAAGCCTCAATCGTAACGGATGCCCCATCCATCAAACTGGAACGCATTACTGTACTGATGTGGACAATGGGATTCGCCTTACCAACCATCCCTGTACTCTTGGACCGAACTACTAATATTTAGAATTTCCATTTACTCAGAGGTTGCTAGGCGACGAAGATACCAAGAAGAAAGTATTAACAAAGAAGTCGTCAAAAGTGAACGAAGCTTCAACTGATGATGATGAGTTTATATACGAGGTGAGTTTTTTTATTTTTATAAATGTATACGGGGGGATTCCCCGAGGAGCTGTCTGCACAGGAGTACGGCTTCGTGGGGGTTATTGACAGTGCCTGTCTGTCTAGCAGCCAAAATAAAAGCCCTTCGAGTCCAATTGTAGAAAAAAAATACACCTATTCATTTTTTAATTCACCTCTATGGTGTGACCATAGAGGTGAATTGGACATAGAGGTGACAATGAGGCCAAAAAATACTTATAAGTACATTACGAAATATTAAAAAAAAAAAATTAAACTGAACAGTGATAATTTTTAATCGTCGTTAATAAGAAACAAATGATAGCTTAACAACAATAGCGCTCTGTCCGCCAGCCAAAATAGAAATCGTAAACAACGTACCCAAAATAAAATTAAAGTACCAGGGACACATGAATGAAGGGAAGTCGAACCCTCTATTAACAAGTAGGCCGTCTCGCTCGCACGCCTCTACTCATTCGTGCCGTCCCTCTCTAAATGCAAATGAAAGATCAATGCACTTGTAAGCTTCGTATTTAAAGTTTCAAAATAATTAGTAAGAGTTACACTGATGCAGTGTTTCCTAAATTTTTTGTGCCATGCCCCACTGTAACATTTCAAAATAATTCAATTTCAAAATTGATTTGTTCACTTATGAAACCTAAATGATAGGTTTTAGGAAGAAATCACTATGAAATAGTTATAAGAATACAGTAAGTAATATTTCAAAACATATATTAAAAAAGTTAAATTTAAATTGAAAATAATATTAATGCAGATTTTCTATATTCATTTAGTGCGATTGCCTCCTCTTAATTATCAAATTGCCCCCTTATGGGGCTTCGTAGCTGAGGGTAGGATCGGGTTTAAACTCAGCTAAGAATCATTCATCATCAGATTTCAGCTAAGAATATTTTACTACAGATTAATCTGTAATTGAGGAGAACACATAATTGAGGAGAAAACGACACTACAGCAAACATATTTCTATATCATACTACCAATTTTGTTTTGAAGTCGTCGCGGCCTAAAGGTTAAGACGGCTGGTGAATTCGTATCGAGCGACGCGGCCGTGCCGAGGTTCGAATCTCGCAGATAGAACCCCTTTTTTTTCCAATGAAATACTTAACCCATTTTCAGAAACGTCTACAATGATGAAGGAATGACATCGTGTAACCGGTGAACATTATAATTAACGTAATTATATACTATACAATTGCGACATGGACCTCTAATCTTAAGGTCTCTCATACCCAGTACAGTTATACGCTTTTATTTATTCATTGAACAGGATTCAAAGATAAAGAAACTGAAATTAGCCAAGAACATTATATTCAAGAATCAAGTTCCTACTAAAGCCAAGTTTGATGAGACATCGGACGATGATCGCTCGGAGGTGAGTCCTACACTACTGTAGACACAGTCCTCTGCAGCTCTGTACTGATCCCGAGCTCTTCTCGTACACAAACAGACACAGATCCGACCTACATCTAGCCGAGAGTCCTATACTACACTACTGTAGACACAGTCCTCTGCAGCTCTGTACTGATCCCGAGCTCTTCTCGTACACAAACAGACACAGATCCGACCTACGTCTAGCCGAGAGTCCTATACTACACTACTGTAGACACAGTCCTCTGCAGCTCTGTACTGATTCCATCCCAGTCCTCTTTAACTATTAATATAAATATTGTTTCTCATAAGTGACTAATCGCTCGTTCACCGTACTTCATACTTGATGCTCTCCTCTGTAGACGAACGAACCCACACAATTCCACTTGTTTGACACTGTCATTGGCCGCTAGCCTGTCCGCAACTCACGCCGCACTAGCATTTCTGACTTGAAAAAAAAGCTTCAAATCGCGCTTACGAAATTCACAAGGTTTCACATTAAAAAGCTCTGAATATTAAAAACTCCGATTGTGGGACTACCAAGTAATATGATTCGTTGTTGGTTGATATAGGCTTTAATAAAACGCTACTTATGATATTTCGTAACGGCGCCCCCACCGCGTAGCCCATTGTGCCCGCTACCACGCACCCACTGCGTCCCACACTGCGCCCTCCAACACGCCCCCATTGCGCCCGCCACCACGCCCCCACTGCGCCCGATACCTTGCCAATGTCAATTAAATTAATGTAATTACAAGTAATGTCAATTAAAGTGTCCAAACGTTTTTCGTTTCACCTCAGTCCTCAGGAGAGCAGAAGACAGTCAAAAAGTCGGCAAGAGTTGCAGCGAAACCGGTCGCGGCCAAGAGCACTACGAAACTGCCCCACAACGATAAGTCAAGCAAAAATGTACCTTACGTCAATTTAGAGAAGGGTAAGTTTTAAGTATCGCTTGTGCGCTTTTCTAAATGTGTGATTCCCAGGTCTCGTATCGCAGTTCCGAACTGGACTAGTTTTAGGGTTGTCGTTGTATCTTATACCTTTAAACGAGCAAGTCTTGTATATTAATATACATATATAATCTGAATCTCGGAAACGGCTCCAACGATTTTCATAAAATTTAGTATACAGGGGATTTCGGGGGCGACAAATCGATCTAGCTACGATTTATTTTCAGAAAATGTTGTTTTATTCGTGTTTTCAATAATCAACTCTTCCCGACATCTATTGGCGAATAATAATATTATTTTTCTTAATTGAGGGCAATTAACCGCTTTAAAGACACAACAAAATGGTTTTTTTTATAACGCAAAAAAAAAAAAAACGAGTAAAGATCGGTCATCATCTAGTACTTATCATACCAACACTCACTGGTACCTATTTCTACCATAGTACGAAGATAACTGGTATACGACAAGTATTACGCAAAATAAACAAAACCAAACAAAAAAAAGGGTGCGTGTACTGATGTACGCGCGTAAGAAGTTATACTTTATTTTTATTAAATTTAGTTCTTTTTTTTTAATATTAAATAATTAATAATAAATATTTAACGTTAGTAATTTAATAATATTTAGTATGAACTATATTAAATAATAATTTTGTCATTTATATTACTAAAAAATGAATGCTAATAACACTTTTTTTTACGAGTGTACACGCGCGAAAGTTCACCTGCGGCTATATTCAGACTCGCCAAGTTACGTCGATTGTATTGTAGTGAGCGATTTAGTGGGCAACTTCATTTCTGTTAATTTTGTGTCACGGTGCGCGCGCATCGTAAAATTTCACTCTCATCAATTTTTCATAACGCGTCTAAAGAAGTATAACTTCATTAAGGATAATAACTGTAGATTAATTGGTAAGAAAAGGGCATGAAGTCAACTGTGCAAAAGCATAAAGATGACACGTGCATTTTCAATGCAAAAGTTCAAAATGGGTCATTTTTTTTTTATTCCTTAGATAGATGGACGAGCTCACAGCCCACCTGGTGTTAAGTGATTACTGGAGCCCATAGACATCTACAAAGTAAATGCGCCACCCACCTTGAGACATAAGTTCTAAGATCTCAGTATAGTTACAACGGCTGCTCTACTCTTCAGACCGAAACGCATTACTGCTTCACGGCAGAAATAGGCAGGGCGGTGGTACCTACCCGCGCGGACTCACAAGTCGCCAGTAAAAACATCCATTGTCCATCCAACAGTCATATGACCCGTTATGGTATGTTTAGGGTTAAAGAAGGCGGTTTGAAAATCTGTGCGTCAATCGAATTCGATTTTTTCCATGGCGATTTGGGTCACGAATCCATAAAAAAAAAAAAAATTGTAAAAAAAATAAAACGCCACTCTGAAATAGCAGCACGACAATAATCCAGTTATGTCCATTCCACTCCACTTGGCTCCAACTGTATCCCTCGAGGCGTCCCACGCGGTAGACAACCGACGAGCTGGGACAAGTCCTCGCTGATCCTTCTCATCCACGCAGTGTTTTTTTTTTATTGCTTAAAAGCGTGGACAAGCTCACAGTCCACACCCGGTGTTGAGTGGTTACTGGAGCCCATAGACATCGACGACGTAAATGCGCCAACCACCTTGAGATATAAGTTCTAAGGTCTCAGTGTAGTTACAACGGCTGCCCGCATTACTGCTTCACGCAGAAATAGGCGGGGCGGTGGTACGTACCCGTGCGGACTCACACGAGGTCCTACCACCAGTGTTAACGCCACCAGCACAAAACTGAACATAAAATTCAACGTACACCAAGCCCACAGCATTAGTCTGGTGGGTTTCTCGCCGGATCTTTCCCGGGAGTGCTGGGGAGGTTGCTAGCAAACCTTCTACAACTAAGCCAACATTATTCCACCAGGCGTCCATGAGTTCGTCTTCTATACTAATATTATAAAGAGGAAAGATTTGTTTGTTCGTATTGAATAGGTTCCGAAACTACTGAACTGATTTGAAAAATTCTTTCACTGTTTGGAAGCTACACTATTCCCGAGTGACATAGGCTATATAATATTTTATGGATAAAAAATTAGGGATCCTTACTAACATTTCAATAATGTAACCCACGGTGTAAAAAAATTACCTAAAATATTCTTTACATCGCGTGCCATGCAAAAACTATTGATGATAGAATAAAATAATGTACTACGACTTTGTAGAACACATTATTATTTATAAAAAGTGTCGCGACAGCATATTTCTAACTATTATAGTTATGCCGCATACCGTCAATTATCGTTGAAATTTTTGTTAAAGGCCCGAGCGGAGCCGGAGTGGACCGCTAGTCTCATATAAAATTGCTCACCCTCAAAATCGTTTACCGGAGTATACCTTGGTCTGCTAAATATCAGGTTTTTTCCAGTTAAAGTGGTCCATTCAACACCTGCGCGATGGAAGCCGAAATTCGAGACGAAAGAGAAATCCGATGAGTCTCCTTCGGTCAGAAAGTCGACGGTCTCCTCACCAGCCCACGGCAGGAGTAGTAGCAGGACTGCTTCCGTCACAGGTATACACTAAGGATTAGGTATAATTTTTTTTATTAGCTTGGTATTCTTGATACCAAACTCAGTGAGAGTTTCTCGCCGGATCTTCTCAGTGGGTCGCGTTTCCGATCCGGTGGTAGATTCTGCGAAGCACGGCTCTTGCCAGAGTTCGTGTTAGCAACGTCTTCAGGTTAGAGCCCCGTGAGCTCACCTACTAGTTACGTTTACGCTAATATAGTCTCTCAAGGCTATCAGCTTAGGTAGGAAATAAATAATAGTTTAAAAAAACTAACAAAATACGCTTTTATAGAAAATCCAACTAAAAAATATAATAATAAATTTTAATAAATTTGAATTAAAAATAGTGTAAGAAAAAGTGATACCATGCACCCTACGCTTTTTTTTACAATAAAATCATTTTTTCTTGCACTATTTTTAATTCAAATTTGAAAAAAAATATTTTAAAGTTTTTAGTTGGATTTTCTATTAAAGCGTATTTTGTTAGTTTTTTTAAACTATTTTTTTTTTAAAGTTTTTTAGATGAATTTCAATATTTTTTTTAATTTTTTTTTAAATATTGAATTGTCATCGGTCCTTAATAGGTATACCAAATTTCGAGTTAATCCAATGTTTTGAAGGGGGTCGAAAACCATGTTCAAAGATTCCGTTACATACTAACATACATATGTCTGAAGCTAATAAAAGCGTATTAAAAAAAACTACTTCTATATAATATATATATGGACCTTGTAATATGTGTGTTCGTTTTCAGTCCGAAACCTCTCTAAAGAAACTAAATCAGTTGTTGGCGTTAAATCGTCAAGGTCTTCGAACCACTTGAAGAGCAAGGAGACGGCTGATGAGGATCTCCTCGAAGATGAAGAGGACCACAAGCCTGAGGTGTGTATCGCTGCGCCCCTGATTGTCTCGTCGTGACTCGTACAGAGCTGATAGGACTCCGCGAGTGGTCGTCACTAGTCTAACCAAATTCTGGAACTCCTCAAATGAGAGGCGGCATCTGGTGCTCGGTGACTACGAGGTCTGAGTCTCGAATTTGTGTATTAGTTGGCAGCTGTTGCGTCGAGGGTCGTGGGTTCGATTCCCGCGTCAGGCAGGTTTTACTGGTGGTAGGACGTCTTGTGAGTCCGCGCGGGTAGGTACCATCGTCCTGCCTATTTCTGCCGTGAAGCAGTAATGTGTTTCGGTTTGAAGGGCGGGGCAGCCGTTGTAGCTATACTGAGACCTTAGAACCTATATATCAAGGTGTATGGCGCATTTACGCTGTAGATGTCTATGGGCTCCAGTAACCATTTAACACCAGGTGGACTGTGAGCTCATCCATCCATCTAAGAAAAAAAAATTATAATAATAATAATAAACCACCGGTTATTACACATTTAAACCTGAAGAAACACTAAATAGACAAAATAAAACAAATCACACAACTTCACTCCACGCGTTCCCGCCAAAAAACTCCGTAATACACTGAGCTGCTCTTACTTACTACTACCCTCCATTTCTTACAGCGCTGGCGAATGAGGGTATATCTTTTTTTTTTTATTGCTTTGATGGGTGGACAAGCTCACAGCCCACATGGTTGTTAAGTGATTACTGGAGCCCATAGACATCTATAACGTAAATGCGCCACCCACCTTGAAATATAAGTTCTAAGGTCTCAAGTATAAGTATGTTAGTATTGTTCAAAGTTTTTTTATTTGTTTTCAGGATAGAAAAACTAGTAAAAATAAATCCGCCAAAAGCGTCGCGTTCAAGAGACAAGCGCCCGACGAGACTTCGGACGACGAAGATACAGACCTGGTCAGTCCTAAATGATGCGCCACTTTGAGAAGGCGGCACGACATGAGAACCCTCTTGTCGTGGCCGCTGGAGACTACATACCCGATCCTGTAGACCGAATGGTAAACCGTCGACGTCGCCCAAAGCACGTCATCACGGATCCTGCCGATCCACTAACGGTGCTTTTAGGTACCACAAGCACCGGTCACCGTCTTCGCTGAATCCGTCGCTTGCGACGAAGGACTCTAAGAGTAAATTAACCCATAGACACAGCCCACTGAGTTTCTCGCTGGATCTTCTCAGTGGGTCGCGTTTCCGATCCGGTGGTAGATTCTGCGAAGCACGGCTCTTGCTAGGGTTCGTGTTAGCAACGTCGTCAGGTTTGAGCCCCGTAAGCTCACTTACAAACGTTAGGGCGAAGCTGAAGGCTATCAGCATAGGTAGGAAAAATAATACAACCATAAATCCGTCGTACGATTGAAAATGAACCTTATCCCCACACATCTTTAGAATTGAAATGGCTTAAATCAAAAAAAATTTTTTTTGCTTACTTGGTTAGACGAGTTTACGGCCCCTCTGATGTTAAATGGTTACCGGAGCCCGTGGGCATCTACAACGTAAATGCCGCCACTTGTGTATTATTATTGGTAATGACGTGAAATAATACGAATAAAAGTACCAGGGTAATATGATATCAAAGAGATATATTATTGTAACTCTGCTCTGACACGTACAGCCTTCTTTATTAATTAACGGCTGTATGTTCTGTAGCATGGTTTCGAATTTGAGAAATCGACCTCATGTCTCAAGGTGGTTTACGGAATTCATTTTCTAATTTCAATAATCTCAGGGACCCCACTTAACATCACGTGGACCGTGCTATTATTGTTGATTTATAGGAAGAAAAGTACCAGGGTATTATGATATCAAAGAGATATATTATTATAACTCTGCTCTGACCCGTACAGCCTTCTTTATTAATTAACGGCTGTATGTTCTGTAGCATGGTTTCGGATTTGAGAAATCGACCTCATGTCTCAAGGTGGCTTACGGAATTCATTTTGTAATTTCAATAATCTCAGGGACCCCACTTAACATCACGTGGACCGTGCTATTATTGTTGATTTATAGGAAGAAAAGTACCAGGGTATTATGATATCAAAGAGATATATTATTATAACTCTGCTCTGACACGTACAGCCTTCTTTATTAATTAACGGCTGTATGTTCTGTAGCATGGTTTCGGATTTGAGAAATCGACCTCATGTCTCAAGGTGGCTTACGGAATTCATTTTGTAATTTCAATAATCTCAGGGACCCCACTTAACATCACGTGGACCGTGCTATTATTGTTGATTTATACGAAGAAAAGTACCAGGGTATTATGATATCAAAGAGATATATTATTTATTCCGGACGGCCACCGCTCAGGTTTCGGCCACCACGTGTGATTTTTAGACTTCTTACTCGTTGAAACGTGGTGGCTCGAGTATTGCCGCAGTGGCTGTAGCGGAACGGGTGCTGGGATTGGTTCGAGGAAAATAACGAAGGCTTCAGTATGGCGTTCACACGGTCCTCGTGGCTTGACCGGCGCAGGGCGTAGGAGCGAGTCTTTTCTTGTTCGTTGGCTCTCTCCTCTTCTTTCGGAGAGGTCTTGACTCGTCGGCTCGCTGTCTCGAACTGAATTTTCAGTCAGTCGGGGTCGTCGTACCCCCTTGCGGGGGCACGGAGCGGGCCTCGGGGAAACCCCTTTGCCCGGGCATATAACTCCCCGCCTATCGAGGCAGGGGTGGTGCGCTGCAGGACTGAGTGAAGCAGGCTTGGAGTTGTGATGTTGGGTGGGATCGCTTTTTCTTCTTTCTTCCTTCTCTTCTATCTTCTTCGTCGTCAGCAGGGGGCGGCCGCTTCTCTCCACCATGGTTTTTTTTTTTTTTTTTTTTTTTTTTTTTTTTTTTTTTTTTTTTT